GGCAGAGGGAAGCCCAGGGCCCCAAGGGGTGGGAGTGTCAGAGGGCACGAGAAGTGGCCAAGACCAAAAGGGGAAGGTGAGGAAGGGCTGACGCCCTCTGTGAGGAGGGTCTGAGGAGGACCCAGGGGCAGGGCCAATCCTGGAACCCCTTGCAGGTCGTGGGAGCCAGTATCCCTCAACCGGCCACGCGGGCCAGCTTGGTGAGGTGGGTCACCAGGGAGCGTGGTTTCCGGTCTGTCAGGAGTTGCCAAATAAGACATCCCAGGGCAGGGGACTGGAGACAGTTCCCGGCGTGCTCGGCCCACCACGGCCTGGCCCGCACAGCCCTGTGGGCGGAGGCTTGGCCGCCCGGAGACGGCGTTCCTGGCGTGGACGCAGACAAGGACAGCTGTTTCCTTTCAGCTTTATTTTCTAGTGGAAATTTCACAGTCACAAAGCCAGCTCTTGGCGGTGGGGGGTGGGGGTAGGTGGGAAACCGACAACATAGAATAACTGAGTTGGCAGTAGACGTTTCCCCCTGAGCTACACCAGAATTTTCCTGGGCAGCAAAGACGAATAGAATGGCCCAGGTTTTAGACTCAAAGTGGTCTGGCTGGGATTTTTGACCCCATAACTTGCTATGTGCCCTGAGGAAAGTTCCATAACCTCTGTGGGCCTCAGTTTTGTCTCTCTTAACAAATGGGTCCCAAAGCACCTCATAGGACTGTCAAAGAGAGGCCCTGCTCATAGGGGTCCTGCCTTCCCTTCTCAGCCTCCAGAGAGGGCTCTGGTCCCACATTTCACCTTGAAGCCTCCCAGGCAGGCCCACCCTCTCTGCTTCCTCCCTCTCTCCTCCTTGTTCACTGAAAAAGGACTCCCAGCAGCTCTGGGGAGGCCTGCCCTCAGGGCTAGTAGCAAAGGGCCTTGAGGGAGGTTGGCTCCCTGGGGCCCTCACACCAGCAGGTTCCACTTGCCTTCTGGGAAAACACCCCTGAACTCTCACCCAGTGACCCCTCCCCAGGGCTCCTGGGGAGTGGGTGCCTACACCCCCCTTCCCAGGGTTCCTTTGGGTGGTGCACAAATAGCCAGTTACCCAGCTAATGCCCGGATGTGCACTTCAGCCCTGCAGGCTGGGGGCATTCAGTGACCTTAGACCCAGAAGACATGCGGGCGCTCGGTGAGGGGCCAGGCTGGGAGGGTGGGTCCCTGCAGGCTGGGAAGTGCATGAGCCAGCTGAGGTGTGGAGCAGTGGCACTGTCACCCCAGGTGTCAGGGAGGCCCCTCAAGCCCAAGGAAACCAGGCTGGCTCTTGGTCTGGGGCCCTTGTAGATGGCGCCATGCAGAGCCTGCCTCTCCCACACACACGGGGACTGCCCCAGAAGCCTGAATTGTTCTCGGGTTGTTTTCAAGGCTTCCTACTGCAGCTGTTGGGCCCCACCTGCTTCCTCCAGGGACACATTGCTTGAGAGGAAGCCCAGGGACTTTGCCCAGGGACTTTTCCCAGGGCCCCTAGCACCCCTGGAGCTCGGCCTCAGAGGCCTGCCTTGGTGTTGCCCTGCTAGCTTCTTGTCCAGAATTTGCTCCCTGCCTTCCCCTGCAGGGGTGGGTGTGAAGTGCACCTAAGGTGTTTAGTTTGAGCAAATAAAAATACATCGGGGCCAGTTAAATTTGAATTTCAAATAAACAACAAGTAATGTTTTATTATCAGCATGTCCCATGCAGTATTTCAGACAGACTGATACTTCTTCAGTATTTTTTGTTTATCTAGAATTCAAATTTAACAGGCCGTCTGGCAATCCTGGCCCCACCTCACTTTTTAAATTCTAATATCCCTCTTCTCAGCTTCTTATCTGTGTGCAGACATAAAGGAGGGCATGCACCAGGTGCTAGTGTTGTTCATGTTGTTACCAATATTAATCCAGTTCCAAAACTCTGTAACACTATGGATCTCTGCAAGTATTTCTTACACCAAACTTTTTATTAACTACATATTTCATAGTAGTTATAATCTTATAATAAACCCTCCAGTGGATAATTTTTTTTTATCTCTGCTTTCCCCATGTGTGTTTTGGAAATGTCCTGCTAGTGTGTAGGAAACCACTCTATTCTCATCTAATTATGAATGCTGTTGAAGGAAAATAATCCTTTTACCTTTCTCTTCTTTTCCTTTTAAGAAAAGCCCCAGCACCCACCTGCACCCTGTTTCCCTTGGAAAAGGAAGCTGCAAGGCAGGTCCCAGCATTTTTTTTTTTTTTTGAGACAGAGGCTCATTCTGTTGCCCAGGCTACAGTGTCATGGCATCAGCCTAGCTCACAGCAACCTCAAACTCCTGGGCTCAAGCAATCCTCCTGCCTCAGCCTCCCGTGTAGCTGGGACTACAGGCATGCACCACCATGCCCGGCTAATTTTTTCCATATATTTTTAGTTGGCCAATTAATTTCTTTCTATTTTTGATAGAGACGGGTCTCGCTCTTGCTCAGGTTGGTCTCAAACTCCTGAGCTCAAACGATCCTCCCGCCTTGGCCTCCCAGAGAGTAGGATTATAGGCGTGAGCCACTGCGCCCGGCCTTCCCAGCACTTTTGAGAGCGGGAGCTCCCTGGGGAGTGACAGGCAGCCCTGGTGTGTGCACAGCCCTGAAATCGTGCTCTGGACTTTGACTATGTGAGGCTCAAGGCCCAACTCTCTAGGCTGCAGTCAGAGGGGACTCTTCAGTTGGGTATTTTTTGGAGTATGAGAATGTGTCCACTTTATTTTTGCTCCTTCTATTCCTTTTCCCACCATTTCTCCAAAGGAATAGAAACATCAGTGCTCCAATGACCAGGGTCACGGGATGAGGGCGTGGAGGGGGGACAGGGCTTCTCCAGGTCGGCACAAAGGTCCCAGGTCTCTGCCTCTGGGGATGTGGCAGGGATCTCAGCCTCATGCCAAACACATCTCAGCTTGGAGGGTCTGCCCTGCCAGCTGGGCGGCCCCTCCTAGGCCCAGCTGTTCCTCTAGGTCACAGTAGAAGAAGCCTTGGGAACATGCCGGCCCGGTCTGTGGCAGCACCCTGGCAAGGGCCCAGCGTGGGGCCCTCCCTGCCCTTGCAGGGGAGCCAGCTTCTGCACCACCCAGCCGAGTCCGTAGTCCCGCCTCAGCCTCCAGCAGGGGAGCCTCCCGGGCCAGGCCGGCCCTGCAGCTCCCCAGCTGCAGCGCTCTCCTCCACCCTCCCTGCCCCACGGCCTCTTCCCACACCTCCCTCCCAGGATTCCCGAGGACTTGGTCAGAGAACTTTGTCAGGAGACGGTAAGGCAGCAAGGGTGCTGCGTGCCAACAGCACCTGGCTCGGGGAGTGTGACACAGTGTGCTTTGACAGCAGGGCGATGGCTTCATGGCATGCCCCTGCCTTCCCTGAACATCGGCTGGAAGGTTCTTCCATGTCTCGTCTTCTTCATCTGTGAGGAAGCACCGTGGTAAAGCTCTCAGTCTGAACTGAGGTGGCGGGCTGTAAATCCTGCCTCTCCCGCCTACTGGCTTAAGTTACTTAACCTCCCTGTTCCTCAGTTTTCTCATCTGTGAAAGGGGGGGATAATAACCGTCCTTTCTCGTGGAACTGTGGTTGAGGAGTAAATGGGGTGACGCGTGTAAAGAGCTTAGGAAAATGCCTGGCACAAAGTAGGTGCTTATGAAATGGTAGGTGTTAGCTAACATCTCACATTGTCCAGATTTTCTAGATTGTTTGTGGTCAGCAACACGTGGCCCCTACAGTGGGCAGCACACACTAATGGACACTTCAGGGGAGACAGAAGGAACTGAAGCTGGACTCCTCATTCTCTGCTCTTAGATATCCCTGGAGAAAACCTGAGAGCACCTGCATAGGAGGTTTCTGTGTGCTTTGTGGCCACATCTGCATGAATCCTTGAATGCTCTTCCTGCATTGCAGGACAATCCTACATTAGATGCCCAAGGTAGAAGCTAGAAACTCTACTCCCCAAGGTAGAAGCTAGAAACTCAAATTCCAAGCCTCCCTTACAGCAGGAAAAAGGCACATGCCCAGGACTTCCCAGTCAAGGGATTCACGTGAGACCTTGTGGAAATAGGGGACTTCAGATACCTCAAGGGCAAATGCTGTCCTGCATACTCACCTATACTTTTCTTTTCTTTTTTTCTTGAGACAGAGTCTCACTCTGTTGCCCAGGCTAGAGAGCCATGGCGTCAGCCTAGCTCACAGCAACCTCAGACTCCTGGGCTTAAGCAGTCCTCCTGCCTCAGCTTCCCGAGTAGCTGGGACTACAGGCATGCGCCACCATGCCTGACTAATTTTTTTCTATATATTTTTAGTTGACCAATTAAGTTGTTTCTATTTTTAGTAGAGACTGGGTCTTGCTCTTGCTCAGGCTGGTTTCGAACTCCTGACCTTGAGTGATCTGCCTGCCTCGGCCTCTCAGAGTGCTAGGATTACAGGCGTGGGCCACTGTAACCAACCTCGCCTGCACTTTTCTGTAGAAGGTGTGGTGGGTTGAATTGTGTCCACCCCCCCAAAAAAGATATGTTGGCATCCTAACCCCCGGTACCTCAGAATGTGACCTTTTTTGGAGATAGGGTCTTTGCAAAAGATTAATTTAAGGTGAGGTCATTAGGGTGGGTCCTGATCCAAGGACTGCAACCGTATAAAAGGGGGACAATTCAAACACAGAAGGAGACCCGCACACAGGGAGAACACCACGCGAAGACGATGGCAGAGACGGGGCGGTGCGTCTGCAGACACCATCAGACAGCAAAGGCTGCAGCAAACCTCCAGAAGCTACTAGACAGGCCTGGAACAGACCCTCCCTCACAGCCCTCAGGAGGAACCAACGCTGCTGACACCTAGATCTTGGACTTTTGGCCTCCAGCACTGTGAAAAAATAAATTTCTGTTGTTTAAGCCATGCAGACCACGGTATGCTGTCATGGCCACACCAGAAAACTAACATGGAGGGAAAGCTCCTCTGCGCCGTGTCAAACGGAAGCTCCAGAGAGCAGGACATTTTGTTGTTTTATTTATTGGCATACATAGATGGTGCCCAAGAAATGCGCGTTCAATCAGTGAATGTCTCCTGCAAAGTTCACAGAGCAGAACAAACAGGCTAGAGAAAGGTTCGATGTTGGAAGACCCCACACTTTTCACCATGACCACTGGAGCTCCGCTGTGGTCCGGGAGGGACTGTGCTGCCACTTCCCCTGCCGACAGCCACAGAGCCCCCACGCAGCGGGGCCTCCGGGGCTGGGTGGGCGGCGGGTCTGGTGGAAGGCTGTCCAGCCTTGTGGCTTTTAGGCCTGGACCAAGAACTAAAGAGACCTGAGAAATCCATTTTCAAACACAAAGCCCACAAGGCCCAGAGAGTGTTCAAGTCTGTCTGTCTGTTCCTTTGCACCACCCAGCACAGCCACCCGGAGGAACCTCAGGCTTGGCTGGAAGACACATCAGTGCGGACCGTTTCTGTCTCTCCTCTGTGCCATGTTTCCTACCCAAAGGTCGCTCTCTCTCTGTCTCTCTCTTTCATGCTTGGCAGGAGCACACTGAGGAGGCACTTAGTGGCAGGGAGCACCTCTGAATTCAGAAAAGAAATAACCATTTTGCCTGTGGGTCAGTACAGTGGCTCTCGTTACATATTTTCCTGCCAGATGTCTTTCAGGCCTTGTTTAATTTGTCCGTGGCAAAGGCTTTAGGTGTGGAAGAGGGGTCTGCACAGCCTGCTTGGCTAATGTAAGTGTGGTTAGGTCAGGGACCTTCTCTCATGCGAGGGTGTGTGTGTGCACACGTGTGTGCGTGGGGGGAGGGATGGGGGAAGGGAGAGAATGGGGGATGGGAGTACACTCAGGAGGGCCCTTTCCCAGGGCATGTGGGTAAGCTGCCTGCCCAGGCCTCTCTCCACCTTCCTGTGAGGATGGTAACGAGCACTGAAGCTGTCAGATGGGTGCCTGGGAGTCCACGGGCACTGCCCACAGGGTTCAGCCTATGGGCCACACCCAGGTCCGTCTGGGAATGGCCTCCTTTGTGTTAAGAAACACGAGCCTCCTAGATTCCACATGGGGCCGGGTGTGTCCCTCACAGAGAGCCCTTTGTGCCCAAGAGAGGGCTGGCCCCGTTTGTTCTGGCAGCTGGCCAGGCACCGCCCCCAGCCTCCCCACCAGCCCTGGGGCTCCCCACCTTCCCTCCCAAGCTGTGCCTCCCTTCCTCACAGGGTGCAGCCACCTGCTCAGGGCAGGGCACCCTGGAGGGGCCTGGGCTGGGACGCTGCCAAGGACAGCTGTCATGGAGAGGAAAAGGCTTTGGGGACAGCCTACTCTCAGGGATAGGCTGGAAGAGCAGGGCCTGCCAGCAGACCCACCCTGGGACACTGAGGACAAGCCAGGGCTGCCCTCTGAGCTCACCCTGCCTGGGGAGACGGCAGGCTACAGCGTGCTCTGGCTCGTTGCTGGGAGACACCATCTCTGAAGGGCCACGATTATAACTGCAACTGTTCGTGTTCCTTTAAAAAATTAAATTAAAAAAAAAAAACCTATGAGAAATCTCATGCTTGTCAGAGCCTTCCTCCCCCGCTGCTGGCCCCCATTATGAATCCATGGCATCTTCTGCTGAGAGTTAATTACACGGTGTGTGAAAGATGCAGGGCTTCCTTTAAAAAATTGTTTCTGCTGGATGGGTTCTCAGCTGCCTCCCGAGCTTCCTCGCCATGCGGCAGGAAGACAGGGCGTGCTGCGAGAAGCCCAGCCCCGGCCCACGATCGCCCGGGGCCTCCCTGAGCCGTAAGCCGGTGACGACAGCCCCACCAATCCTGGGCTCACCTCCCACAGCTGAGAGATCCGCTCCTGCCAGAGAGCCAGGATCGTGACAAAGCACAAACGGAAGGTGCTGTGTAAGTGCCAAGCCCTTTGCCCCTCTGGAGCCTGTTTCCTCCCACTCTGCTCCGGCACAAACAGGGGCTCAGGCAGAGGGAGGGGTGCAGATGGCTTCCTGGTGCATGAGCCTCCGTGTGAAGGCTCAACAGGGAATGTGACCCCCTCCGGGACTTTCCAGCTAAGAAGCTATGACCAACTCCGGAAGCAACAAGTGTGAACTAATACCTTCAGCGATTGCCTCTTCGCAGGGTTGAATTTCATCTCCTTATGCCACGGCTAATCGCACAGCTGTTGGGACCCCTCAGAGCATGTCACAACACCCCTGCTCCAACAAGTCGGAGCATCTCAGAGCTGGCAGGGCCTCCTCGGCCAATTCCTGTCCTGAGCTGGGCACACCTTAAAGTGGAGAATTTTCTGTTGTCCCCAGATATCACTCCCCTACACCAGTCAATAAAGGAAACTCGAGGTTGTGAGTTAAAAGTAATCCTGTCTATAATGACAATTCTGAACTAACCAGACATGGAATATTCACTTTTTCATGGGGTAAACTAGCTTTCTTCATTCTAAACTTGCTAGTGTAGGCTCTGGGACTATCAGCTCATTTTAATTATTAGCCTAGGACAAATTAAAAAGAGCAATCTGCCGCCACTGGATTCCAAAATAAAATACAATTATGAAGTTTATAGTATTTTGAATAACTTGCTTTGCCACTTCCCATCTTTAGGTACAACAAAGAATTGATTTTTTAAAAAAAGAATAACTTTTCTGTCTATTTGGTTGTATTCTTCATAGTGTTGAGCATTGAAGGGGCGGAGGGGATACACACAGCTTGTCTTTAAAGGGGGGATTTCAAACCCAAATGGGCAGAGTCTGTAAAAATGCAAATGCTGCATTTTTAAACAAACCTAACTGGTAATTCTGATGCAAGTAGCCACCCAACTGTGATGTGGGGTTATGGCTGTGGCTTATGAACACGCGAATTAGCTGGACACCCGGCAGCGGCAGCTCCCCTCCCAGCCAGAACTTTCCTGGAATGTACATTCCAGGAAATTATTTATGTATCTATTTTTAAAATAACATTAGTTTCTTTCTCTTTGGTTATAAAGCTAAGGCAGAGGACTTATATAATGTCATAATAATAATCATGATAAAATTCCAGTAAGACTGATAGCTAAAAAAGAATAAAATAATAACGATAATAATATTAAAATCACTCATGATCCCTTCCCAAGTGGGGAGGGCTATTAATAGTATGTTGTTTTCTTCCTGGCATGTTTTTTATAAAGTTGACAACATACTGAATATATAATTTTATTTCATTTTTCCCTACGTCATTAATTTTTTTCTGGAAATATCATTTGTAAAGGCTGTATAATATCTCCATCGTGTGGACGTGCCTATTTTAATAACCATTCCCTCACTGTTGGATGTTGAAGCTGTTCCCAATAATTAATTATATAAACAAAAATATTAAGATGACTATTTGTGTGCATAAAGTTTTATCAACATTTTTGATGACTTCCTCTAGCTGGAAGTGGGTCACTGGATTAAAGGATATGAATGTGTGCAAGGCTCCTGGTAGCTATACCAGCAACTTGCTGTCCCAATTTCCTCCTTCCCAGCATACGGTGGAATGCCTGTGTCACGGCACACTCAGCTTATGACCTTTCAAGGCTTATGAAAGGTATCACTCTCACCGTATGTTATAGATTGGCCTGTTTCCCCAAAAAAGATACTGTGAAGTCCTGACTCAAAGTACCTGTGAGTGTTACCTTATTTGGAAACAGGGTCTTTGCAGGTTAAGAATAGGTCATTAGGGTGGACCCCTGTGCAATATGACTGGTGTCCCTATAAGGAGGGCGCCAAGTGAAGACACTGCCACACCGGGAGGATGCCCTGTGCTATCCGAGGCAGAGACTGGAGTGATGCAGCTGCAAGCCAAGGAATGACAGCCACCACCCGAAGACAGGAGGAGGTGGGGAAGGAGTCTACCCAGAGTCTCAGGGGACCATGTCCCTGATGACACCTGGATTTCAGACCTCTAGCCTCCAGAACTGTGAGAGAATAAATTTCTGTCACTTTGAGATACCTAGTGTGGGGTGCTTTGTTCTGCAGTCCTATGAAACTAACATACTTTATGCTCCCTGGCTTGGTGTCCGCTGAGCCAGAAAGAGCTAAAGTACAAAGGATGGTTCTTGCTCCCTCTCAGAAGGGCATCCAATCCAGCCTGATAATCTGCCTTCCCTGGGAACATTTCTTGCTCCCTGTCCTAGGAGCAAGAGTCCGGCAGGGGCCTGTCAGGGACTGGCTTGGGGCTCTGGGTCCCATCTTCCATTAGAGCAAGGTCTGGTTTAGTTTTTTCCTTGAGGTCACATCTCCAGGGGTACACAAAGCATAAACTTAGCATTTTTCTCCATACTCTTGGATTTGACATGATGGAATAAGCCCATTTATTAGGCTCTTTCCACACCTCCTGGATTAAAACCTCATTCAGTGTCAGGGCAGAGGTCACCGTTGTCACTGATCAGGCCTCAGACTGATCCATTATCAGGGAGTCTCAGGCCCTCAGCCCTGATTGGCTGGAAGGTTGTGCTACTATTGAATTCCTTACTTCTACAAATGCCCGTCTGTTCTCCAGCGACTTCCGAAAGGTTGCTCTCTTAAGTTGACCTTCTTGATCGAGAATAGAACCCAGAGACCTAAGGAACCCCACCTGAAGATTATACAGTTAGGATGTTGTGACCCCAACAGTTACAAAGTCTAAAATATTTAAAGTCATTCTTTACTAAGTGCCCACTGGGAGCCACTTACATTCTCTAGTCCTCAAGAGAGCCCTACAAGGTAGGCTGTGATACTGTGACAGAATAAGAAATATATCCGTGCTCTCTGCCCCTGGTTCCCCGCACAGCGCTCCTTAAAACCCTTGTAATTTCCTGAACGGTCTGGGTGCTAGGGGCATCTTTTGTTCTAACATTTGGTCTTTGACTCTGGTTTCTGACACAGAGCACCTAATCCCTTAGACTTTGGTGGGTGATAGGAGCATCGTTTGTTCTAAGGAGGTGATTCTTAGTGGTGGGCTCTGGGGTGGGGCCGGTCACCAGAGAGATCAAGCCATGATTAGAAGCCTGGAACTTTCAGCACCACCTCCCATTCTCCAGAGACCAGAGAAGGACTAGAAATGGAGTTAATAATCGATCGTGTGGACGTGATGAAGCCTGAGAGCTGTGGGGTCTGGAGAGCTTCCTGAGAGTGGCATGTGTGGAGGGTGGTGCGTCCTCGTCCTCCAGGGCAGCCCTGTGCCCTTCCCCCAGGCCCTGCCAGGTGCTGCCCTTCCATCTGGCTGCTCATCATACCCTTTATAATAAACTGGCAAATGGAAGCAAAGTGCTTTCCTGAGTTCTATGAGCCGCTCTAGCAAATGACTGAACCCGAAACGGGGGTCATGGGAACCTCCAATCCATAGCCAGTTGGTCAGAAGTTCCAGAGGCCTGAATGTGCAATTGGCATCTGAAGTGCAATTGGGGGCAGTCGTGTGGGACTGAGCCTTTAACCTGTGGGATCTGACTCTAACTCCAGGGACATGGTGTCAGCATTGAATTAAATTGTAGGATACCCAGCTGGTGCTGGAGAATTGTTTGTTGGAGGGAACCCCATCCCCCACATTTGGTCACGGAAGTGTTCTGTTGAGAATGAGGGAGAAAAAGAGAAAAAAAAAAAAAACAGTTCGTTTTTTCCCTTATAGAGGTATAATGATCTCTATTTCACAGTAAAGAAACCAAAGTCCGTTCTCGCATTGGCAGCACATATACTAAAGTTGGAACGATACAGGGAAGATTAGCATGGCCCCTAGCAAGGATGACCCAAATTAAAGGTTTAAAAAAATTTAAAGAATTAAGAAAAAAAAAGAAAGAAAGAAAGAAACCAAGGCCCAGAAAGGCCAGAAGGTCGCCCAAGGTGGGCCATTTTGTGTAAGGCAGAGCCAGAAGTAGAGCCAAGACTTCCTGCCGCAGAGGCCCCAGCCCTCTGCTCGGTCAGGTGGCTTAGAGGGCCTTCGGAAGGCAGCTGTTCAGTGAGGTCATTCATGCTAACAAGGGATGCCAGATGTTTTGAGGACATGCCAAACCTTTTGAAGCAGATGTTCCTAGTTCCACTCAGTTCCATCTCCAACAATTCTGGCACCTGCAGTAATACGGGATTTTGTAATTTACATGATCCTTGAAAATGGTCTGATCCCTGCTAACTCACCTCCTGATTTTTACATCTCAATTTCAGTGCATCTGTTCCCAAAAAGTTGCAAGGAAAGGGAGCCCTCTGAAAGCACACAAGGAGTCTTATATTTAATGATGTCTTAGTCTCTTCTGGACTGCTGTGACAAAATACCTGAGACTGGGTAATTTACAGACAATAGAGGTTTATTTCTTACAGTTCTGGAGGCTGAAAAGTCCAAGGCTGATGGGCCCACATCTGGTGAGAGCCTTCTTGCTGTGTCACCTATGGTGGAAGGCAGCAGAGCAAGAGAGCAGGGCAAGAGAGAGAAGGTGAGAGAGAGAGAGGGTGCGGCAGAGGGAAAGGGAGAGGGAGAGGGAGGAGGAGGAGGAGAAAAGGAACAGGGTTGAACTCATCCTTTCATCACTAACCCACTCCCACGATAACAAATCCATTCCCTCAATAACAATATTAATTAAATAAGTCAGTGCCTCTTGCTTGTAATCCCGGCACTTTGGGAAGCCAAGGCAGGAGGATCACATGAGGCCAGGACTTTGAGGCCAGCCTGGGCAACATAGCAAATACCCCTGTCTCTACAAAACATAAAAAAATTAGTCAGGCATGGTGGCATTCGCCTGTAATCCCAGCTACTAGGGAGATTGAGGCAGGAGGATTGCTTGGGCTTAGGAGTTTGAGGTCACCATGAGCTATGATCATGCCACCGCAGTCCAGCCTGGGTGACAGAGCAAGACCCTGTCTCAAAAACAAACAAACAAAAAAAGAGAGCTCAGGTTCTCAGCCTGAAGGAAAATGTGGAAGTTGGAGGTTGTGGTGTTTGTGGCTTAAGTAACCAGCCACAGCCCTTTTGCACCTGGTGGTATCTCCCAGGATAACCCCACACCCGTCCAGCCCACCGACTTCCCCGAAGGACACCCACATAAGGCCTTGAACCTCGCACCACTAACGCTTTCCATACCTATCCCTGCCCACTATTTCTTCCTCTGATGTCACAGGGCTCTGCATCTTGTCCCGTCTTAGCAAATTAGAGCCCTTGGTTTCCCAAGTGTTGTCTTTTTAAACTGCTTTCCACAGACCCGGGAGCACAGGGCTTCCCAGAAGTCTGATTCAATGCTATTTTGAGCTGGATTAGATGGCAGAAATGAGCCACCCACCCTTGGAAAAGGCACACTTGGGAAAAGGCTGCCCAGCGAGAAGTGGACGGGGAACTCGTTCTCTGCACAAGTTTAAATGAGGGTCTGATGGGGCAAGCAGAAGCTCATGTGGTCCCTGTCAAAGCTAAACTGACAAACAGCTCTGGACAGATCCAGACTGGTTTTGTTCACCCAGCTGTTGTACTACTTCTGCCTGCAAGATGAGACACAGACACCTCCCCTCCCCAGGCTGGCATCGTTTTCTGAGCCTGTGGCTTTGGAAAGAACAGCAAGTTCAAATCCCGGAAAGAGGCTGAGAATGAATTCCAGCCGGAGGCCCCCCAATGACAGTTGTGTCTTGTTCATCCTGGGGTCACTGCGCGGGTGGGTGAGGTGTGATGCTGTAGGAGGGGTAGAAACCCAAGCACCTGTGGCTGCCTGCTGCCTCTGCATGTCCCGGCTCCTCCTCGCCCTTCCTTCCTGCCTGGTGTGGTCAGGGAAACCTGCCAGGATTAAAGTTTCGGAGGCCATTTAGTTGACTGCAGGTAGATGCTTTTTTTAAGGGTCTTTTGCTCTCTTTGAGCATCCTAGAACCACAGATAAAGCCTCTCAAAGTGGGTACTGAGCAATGACTCCAGGCAGACCATAGTGCCCAGAGATGTCCAGCCTTGT